TGCTGCTCTGATGAGTCTCCATTTCTGCTCACACATTCGGATGCTCGGCTCACAATTTGGCCTCAACAACATGAAAGCATGGATCATCCTGCCTTGTATCAGCGGTTCAGGCTGGTGGTGGTGGTGTAATGGTGTGGGGGAGATTTTCTTTGGCTCCATTAGTACCAATTGAGCATCAACGCCACAGCCTACCTGAGTATTGCTGCTGACCATGTCCATCCCTTTATGAGCACAGTGTCTCCATCTTCTGATGGCTACTTCCAGCAGGATAACGCAGCATGTCATAAAGCTCAATCATCTCAGACTGCTGAACATGACGATGAGTTCACTGTACTCAAATGGCCTCCACGGTCACCAGAGCTCAATCCAATAGAGCAGCTTTGGGATGTGGTGGAACGGGAGATTGGCATCATGGATGTGCAGCCGACAAATCTGCAGCAACTGTGTGATGCTATCATGACAATATGGAGCAAAATCTCTGAGGAATATTTCCAGCAGCTTGTTGAATCTCTGCCATGAAGGATTAAAGCAGTTCTGAAGGCAAAAAGTGTTCAACCCAGTAGTAGTGAGGTGTACCTTACTAAGGTGTGGAGATCTTCATCTGCTGCAGTTGATGTGTTGTATTCGCAGTGTAAAACTGAAAGCTCCTGATCTCTGTCATCTAATAATGAAGCTGTTGAGTGTGTGTGTGTGTGTGTGTGTGTGTGTGTGTGTGTGTGTGTCCGTCACGTTTGTGTTTGCTCTTCTTTCTCTCTCTAATCAACTATTGTTCCTGTTCTTCACGTCTCTCTGCAAACATTTGCGGCTCGTCTGGTCTGTTTCTGTGCCGGAGGGATGTTTGTTGGCTCTCAGCAGAATACGAGCTGCTGTCATCACTGTGAGGGAGATCTCTGAAGCAGCACAGTGCAGATTCTGATCACATTTAACCTTCATTTCTTCAAGAATGAGCCCAAGTTCAAATCTCCATGGACACATATACATAGATGATGGAAGTATGAGACAGATAGCTCATTTAAGACGTTTGAATATTTATTAAGGGTCTTAATTTTCTCTAAGTTAATTGATGAACTTTTAAAACTGTGCTGACACATTGGCTCAGTGGTTAGCACTGTGGCCTCACAGCAAGAAGGTCGCTGGTTCGAGCCTCAGCTGGGTCAGTTGGCATTTCTGTGTGGAGTTTGCATGTTCTCCCAGTGTTGGTGTGGGTTTCCTCTTGGTGCTCCGGTTTCCCCCACAGTCCAAACACCTCATCAGAGTGCTTCAGTATTCTATTATTATTCCCTCCAGAACTGTCTGTAATCGGTGTGTCTTTGCTCGGTGTGCTCCTGTATTAAATGTCTTGATGTCTTGATGTTGTTTCAGAGCGGCGTCTGGAGGCTGAAAAGATCCTGCTGTCTGAACCGGGAGCAGAGCTGGGACACATGGAGTATCACCTGCTGAAGCTCTTCATTCTGCTGTGAGCATCTGTTCATGAGCTTTACCTGATCGCACATGCTTTCCTTTTAGAAGCTAAAGGTTTTGAGTGCTGCTTGCTCTCAAACCATGAAGGTTTTGACCTCGGAGTGAGACAGAAATGCGTTTATTGTGTTGTAGTGTCGCCCTCTGCTGGTGATTCAGCCGAATGACAGGCTAGCTACAGTGTGAAAGAAAGGTTTAGTTAAATGTAGTCAGGTTTTAAGAATATTTTAGGGCTGGGCAAAGATTAATCACATCCAAATTAAAAGTGTGTTTTGACATAATATATGTGTGTGTGTTTATTTTGTATATATAAATACACATGCATGCACATATTTGAGAAAATCTTTATATACTGTAAATATGCAAATGATTTAGATATTCTGTAAAATATGCATATTATATAAAATGTAAATATATTTGTGGTAAAAAGGGCTGTGTAGTGTTTCTTTAATGTTTGTGTGTATCACATATACATAATATAACACACACATTTAATATGTCCAAACAAACTATTTATTTCGGATGCAGTTAATCTTTGCATATTTATGTTTATATTGTATATTTTAATGTAATATTTATTTAAGTTTATCATATTAATGCACACATGTTTCATATTTATATGAACAGATTTTGTTTTATAATGATGAATTATATTGAATAAGCAGCAGATTTATTTAGCGATGGACGTCATCAGGATTTTGTTTTAATATTTTAATTATAATAATGTGTTGTCATTGCCATTAATAAATGCAATAGTTTGAAATTAACTATACATGAAAATGCATAATTATTATATGTTAATTGTTTTATTTTATTTTAATATTTATTAATTTCTTCATTAATATTCATTAATTCATTTAATTATTTTAATATTCCTTGCGATCACTTGTAGATTGGTTTGTCTTTCTCTGGTCCTTGTTCTTGGTCGAAAAAGTGAACAAATAATTGTTAAAAAATGTGTGTGTGTGTGTGTGTGTGTGTGTGTGTGTGTGTGTGTGTGTGTGTGTGTGTGTGTGTGTGCGTGTGTGCGTGTGTGCGTGTG